TACTATTATTATTATTACTATTATTGTTATTGTTATTGTTATTATTATTAGTAGTAGTATAAGCTTCTTTCTGAACCGCACAAGCCCCCATGGCCAAAGCTGCAGATTGGGGTCAGCAGCCCGAGACCCCTGAAGCCTGGAACTCAGGAAACGGTTTAGTTAGGGTTTAGGGCTTAGGGGGTTTAGGGGCTTAGGGGGTTTAGGGGTTTAGGGGGTTTTAGGGGGTTTAGGGGGTTTAAGGTTTAGGGGGTTTAGGGGGTTTAAAGTTTAAGGGGTTTAGGGGATTTAGGGCTTAGGGTTTAGGGTTTAGGGGGTTTAAGCTATTGCCACCTGAACCGCAAGGACTTAGATGCTGAAATCGTCTGCTGCATGCAGGGCCCGGTATGTGGTGTCCACCGGCGAGCCTCTAGCATCTCCTGGCAAGGCGGCGTTTAGGGTTTTTTGAGTTTTGCCTGTGGGGTTTAGGGTTTGAGGTTTGAGCCAGGGTTGGGGGGTTTAGGGCCTGGGGCCAAAGACTTGTAACCTTTTGTTTCGTGCTGGTGTTGGAATCCGGCTGCAACATGCTGATGTTGATGACTGTGGTGCCTCAGCGGCCCTCATCTAAAACCCTCAAGTCTAAACCGTTGCCCAAAGGCTCAAAATGACCCAAAGCCTTATATTGATCTGGTGTGGTCTTTGGGCCCAAGAGCCTGAAAATATGAGTCCCTATAGAGCTTGAGCGTCAATCCTTTCAGCGCCCGGGGTCTCTTCATTTGAGGAGCACGTTAGATGAACAGCTCAATTTAGGGCTTAATTACCGTTGCTGTAAACTCTAACTTCAACCCTCGATGGTATACACGCCGAAATGGCATCTGAACTAGCATGCTTGAGGACAACATCCCTATAAGCTATGAGCCCACATGAAAATTGGCCGCTTCTTTGGAAGCCTTAGGGCAGACAGACTACACGATACAGGGGAACCCCTCTGCAGATCAAACACGCCGGGCGACGATCGGTACCGAAGAGGCATCGCAGCTGCATAAGCAGAAATACCAGAATCACGAGAAGAGGTAAGAAGGCCATGGCTCCTCTGGATTTTAAAGTAACCAGGGAGAGAAAAGCATAGACTTTTACTTTATAATGGTTCCTCTAAGGAACAGGTCCAAAAAAAAAAGTATTCAAGTATGGTACTCCAGAACCCGGTCCTTCTTTGTTGATTACCGCAAGAAGTCCGAAGAGCAGAGCAGCGCAAAGGAAGCCGTAGCTGACTGTCAAGATGCCACTAAGAGCTGCCAGAAGGAGCTGCAGCAGCTCCGAGTGGACAGAAAAGGTGCGCTTCAGCAGCCGAAGAAAAACCTGAGCCCCAAAAATCATATGATGGTTAGGGTTTAGGGCTTGGGGTCATCCCTGACACCTGCGGCAATCTGTGAGATACCCCAACGCCACAGTCAAGCCCCACCGGACCTATGTTATTGCTGCGCCGGGAGCTGCATAGAAGATGGGAACGACCAAAACGATTGTGGAGATCCAGCTCAAGAGTATCGGCAAGACGTAATTGCCAAAGGATGAGTATCCCATGTTGGACATGCATGTAGCATCGCATTGGAGAATGTCCGTCGCAGAATAGAAGATCATGGGCAGAGACGCTACCAGACCTGAACTTTGAAGTAACCAGGGAGAGAAAAGTATACACTTTTATTTTATAATGGTTCCTTTAAGGAACAGGTCAAACAAAAAAGCATTCAAGTATGGTACTCCAGAACCCAGAGACACATGTTGTAGGGCACATACAGCTGGTCTCCCACACATTCCATGACGGCAGAGCGGAGAGGGCCGCGAATGTAGCTGTTGAAAGCGTCCAGGGCTTCATCGTCACCTAGGCTCTTCAGTAGCCCCCTGAAAAAAAAGCATATACTAGGAACCCAGGAGCCCAAAAAGTAAAAGAGTTTGCTACTGAGCACCCTAGTCACTCTGGGCATAAGCCACACTCTCCTCTGTTCCGGTGGATGTTGTCGGCAGAGCCACAACTTCTCGTTCGCCGAGAACCGACCTAAAAAGGTTCTAAACCCTTAACCCAAAACCCTATAAACCTTAAACCCTAAACCCTAAATCTTAAAAACTCCAAATTTTTCGCAGAGCCCCGACCTAAAAAGGTTCTAAACCCTAAACCCTCCTTTTCCGCGGAGCGCCGACCTAAAAAGGTTCTGGACCCTAAGCCCTAAACCCTTGACCCTAAACCCTATAAGCCCTAAACCCTCCTTTTCCGCAGAGCCCCGACCTAAACAGGTTCTGGACCCTAAATCTTAAAACCCTAAACCCTAGACCCTCAGCCCTAGACCCTATAAACCCTATAAGCCCTAAATTTTTCGGAGAGCCCCGACCTAAAAAGGTTCTGGACTTGCTGCTCCACGAGGATCCTGTCGGCCTCTACTGTGCACTCTGCAGCTCGGCAGTCAAAGCACGCCATCTGCTCCAGCCTCAGGGCCTTTTTTGGGTTCAGGGCTGTTTAGGGTTTAGGGCTTTATAGGGTTTTGGGGTTTAGGGTTTTGGGTTTTGGGTTCTGGGTTTTGGGGTTTTTTAAACCTTCAGGGCTGTTTAGGGTTTAGGGTTTAGGTGTTAGGGTATGCCTGTATACTTAAAGGAAGCTACAGGTGGAGAGTCTAGGGTATATAGAGCTTCTATAAGGCCTCTATAAGGTTTGGGGTTTTGGGTTTTGGGTCTAGGTGTTGGGGTTTAGGGTTTTAGGGTTTAGGGCTTTACAGGGTTTTAGGGTTTAGGGCTTTATAGGGTTTAGGGTTTAGGGTTTTAGGGTTTAGGGTTTATAGGGTTTAGCGTTTAGGGTTTTGGGTTTTAGGGTTCAGGGTTTTAGGGTTTAGGGCTTCAGGGTTTTAGGGTTTTAGGGTTTACGGTTTTAGGGTTTAGGCTTTTGCACACCGCTTTGACTCGAAATGCTTGTTCATCCCAATGTCTGCCTTGATAATATCTCAACCAGCTATCTTCGAAATGATTCCTAAGCAGCACCCTAATAACTGCTTGGATGCTATTTCAACGCACGTTAATTCAAAGCCTAAACCCTAAACCTAAACCCTAAACAATATTCAAATTGATTCCTAAAAAAATCGAGCAGCATCAAGGCATGGCTCCTTAACTTGGCTCTGCAAGCCACCGTCCACGGGATGGACACCTTAGGGGTGAGGGTTCTGGGTTTAGGGTTTTGGGATAGTATTGATTAAAAATCTGAACTTCTGCTCCTTATTGAGCTTGAGTATCCATAGAAAGGTAAAAAAATTACCCAACTATGATAAAGACACGAGGATACCCAAGGCCGTGCCCACGAGCGCGAAAAAAACGGCGAGGGTGGCCAGTGGACCGAATCCCGACTCGAGCAGGCTCCTAGATGATGCTTGGGGGTCTAAGGGCTTCGAGGGTTTAGAGTTCAGGACTGGGGGTTTAGGGTTTAGGGCACTTGTTGAGTTTAAGAGCCCCCCAAAATGCAAAATGTTACCCAACTATGACAAATGCTCGGTGGGAGGATTGCGGAGAACGTCGTCGGCGAGGTGAGGACTTCCTGAGGGATGCGATAGTTCAGGATGTTCAGCCCTGTAGCCACCACAGTGTCCAGCAAGAGTCCCGACAGGAGCCATGGTGCCAGCCAAAGCGGCAAGAAATGCACCTCGCGAGCAGAAGGAAACTTTCTGCCCGACATGGATCTGTCAAGCAACCCACGTTCACTCCAACACCCTGCACCGGCTGAAGCGGACACATGTTCGATTGAAAGCGTTCTCCATCCCAGGGGAAGAGGGGCGTCTTTTCATGTCAGAAAGCTCTTTGGACAAATAGCGTTTATAACAACCCAACGTCCCCCGCACTAGGGCATTTACCCACAGGCCCCTAAGTAATTCCTTTTTGGGATTACCTTATAGGATTCTAATTATAAACCACAAAAAGGAACTACTTAGGGGCCTATGGGTAAACCCTTAATTAGCCTTAATTAGTGAAGGAGCGAGCTCTAATCAGGCGGAACACCTGTGCACGAATTGCTGGGCTCTTGCTAAGGAACTTATTCTAAGTTGCCATACTATAGATCTGTGTTAGTCTAGCTTAGGGCTTAGATTAAGTTCCTTAAGAAGAACCCAGATTGGGCAACGAGGAAGCTCCGGCAAGCTCCCGCGTGCACCTTCTGCGCACTGCCGTGCTTTGCAAAGGTGGCCAATTCTAGTTGGCACCATAGGCGCTGGAAGTACTCGTCGTCCCACAGCCTGTAACGACAGCAGTATGCAACAATGTACACACTGCGTGCATACACATAGGAGTTATTTGTATATGTATGTATACAGAGATATATAACGATGTATGTATATACATACATACACACACACATATATATATATTGTATATATGTATTTATTTGTTTATTTATGTTTGTGCGCATGTGCATGTGCATGTATATGTATGTGCAGCCGCATATGTGTGCAAGCAGTGTATTTGTACATGCACATACAGGTGCATGAGTCTATTCGTGCCCATGCTTTTGTATCTACTTATGTTATAAATGTATGTGTACGTATGCGTATATGTTTGCATATGCAAAAATGTAAAGTTCTGCTTGCGATGAGCCGAATGCAAGAGCATATGTATATATAAGCACACGTGCTATACACAATTGAGACCGAAGGGTATAACTGAACTACTTCATACGTTAAGCTGCGCTACCGTACGTTACATTGCATTTTTGTTTACGCACATGTCTGTAGAATGGCCTCTGCATTGTGTTTGTCTCGGTATGTGCATGTGTATATGCAATGTATATGAACATGTTTGCGCTGATGCATGCGTCGTACATGTATGTACTGGCATGTATGTTTCTGAACTTGTGCATGCATGCATGTAGGTATGCATGAAAGTATGCATGCATGCATGCATGCATCTACGGGATTATGGGTGTGCGAGTACATGTATGCATGTCTGCGGGTATGTATGCATGTTTGATTCAATGATCGATTGATCGATTGATTGATTGAGTGAGTGAGTGAGTGAGTGAGTGAGTGCTCGTGTGTGTGTGTGTGTATGTGTGTGTGTGTGTGTCTGTGTGTGTGTGTGTCTCTGTGTGTGTGTGTGCACTTCTCTAGCACATGAGATAAGGGGTTCACAACCCTTTCATCTGCCCA